CATAGTGACATGCCCACAATATGGAGATGCACTGAATTTGAATGTAAACCCTCTCCCATTATTACAGTTTCAGGGAAACATAGGTCAAGTTTAAATTCTGTGTCATATTCAAGTCCAAAAGAATTAAAGTTTGAAGTCAAACTCCATGGTCTGCCGAGCTCAGAAGTTCCCTCTCTGGTTTCTGATCTCATGTCAGTGGAGAGGTGGCCATGCCTGGTGGCGTCTAGGGCCTTTCAGCAGGTCTGAGCTGTGTCACAGGAGTGTCCATATGGGTCCTTTGGGGCCTCAAACCCTCATCGATTCTACACAGGCTCACTGGTGCTTCAGTGGGGAGTCCTTCCCACAGTTACCCCAGGCAGAATGACGCCAAGGATCCCAGCAGAGCCCAGAGGTCAGGGCAAAGCCTGATGGTCAGAGAACCTTGTTTTGAGTCTCCCTGTTATGCAAGAAGGGCTACACCCTTGAGTTCACTTCTTTGGGACTTTAGCTCACATGAATTTAACCTCCCAGTAAGAGGTTAATTTTGGCTCTAGGCATTTACTCTCTTAATATCTGTTTCTGCTCAAAGCCCCTGTTTCAGCTCTTTGGTTTGAATTGGGGTGGCAGGTGTGTAGACACTTTCTGTCCTGGGCCATGGAGCCTGTTCCCCAGTGCCCTTCATCACAGAGTCCCAGGCCTGAGATGTGCGCTGCCCAGAGGCAGTGTTTCTCTTGAGTGAGCTGAGCCTTTGCAGAGCCAAGCAGATTCCAATGATAAGAGGAACTTGAGCCTGGGGAGAAGCCACCAGATTCCAGGAGTCCCTGTTCCAGTTTCCTCAATTGGCCCTGAATGTGGAATGGAATCAGACGGTGGTTCTAATACCACTCACATAGGCCCATCCCTTGCCCTCAGAAAAACTCAGCTGCCAGGGTCTAAGGGGTCTGTAATGCACCCGTTCTGGGAACAACTGTGTATTTTCTGTAGCCAAATTACTCAGGAAGTGCCATTCCAGAAGCCACTGGTATCTGCCGATGGCTCCCAGAGCCCTTGCCTTGCTTTAGAGGCCCCCTTGAGCTGGGTCACTCGCTGGGGACTCCCTGCCCCAGGGGTGGCCCCTGTACCAGCTGAGCCCTGTGGGGAGAGCACTCTGTCTCTGCAAGCCCTTCTGTGCTGGCTGCCAGAGCGCCAGTGCCTGCAAGGCCCATGCCCACGGCTCCAGGTGTGTGGTGGCAGGCCTCTGTGTCTAGACCACACCGCTCCTGCCACACTGGCCCAGCCTTGCCACTTGCTTCCTTTGAGCCCTCCACTCCCATGCATTTGCTTCATTTCTTGGTTCCCACCCAGTGTGCCGGCTGTTGGGGTTCCCATCAGTAATACCTCTAAGCTGCTGCCCAGGCTCTGCAAGGTTGAAAGTAGAACAGGGAGGAAGCCTGGGTGGTGAGGCTGTGCCTTGATGGCAGAACTGCCTTTGGGCTGTGCTGGTGTCCAGGATCAGTCCCCAGAGGCAGCCTGAGTTGCAGCCTGGTCACTGCTATGTAGAGCCGGCTTTGGAGAGTAGAAAATGCAGGCTTGTCCCAAACCAGGCCAGGAAGTGACAGCACTGGCCTTTTGTTCTCCCCATTTTACTTCAATAGCATGTTTTCACAGTGCAGTTTTCTGTACACCCACCCCTCTCCTCGAATTTGCCCATATACTACTAGGGACAATGGTGGAGTGAGAGAGTAATAGTGACACAGATTTCCTGCACACTGCCAGGCTCTGGGCCCGCTGCCCTGCCTGTACTAAGTCACGTGCACCCTCCTTGTGGCTGTCCTGCTCTCATCCTTGAGCAAACTGGGGCACAGAGGGATGGGCAGGCTTCTGGAGGGTGGTGACCATCAGTCAAGCGTTGTTCATGGACAGGATGTCAGTCTTTGCAGGTAAATGGGGTGCTGGTTTTGTGCTGGTAGGGGCCCCGGGCAGCTTCTGCTGGAGACCGGGTCACAGCAGGTTTGGCTCCAGCTGAGTTTCCTGCTGGAAACATGTGGCACAAACGTGTTGGACATGTGCTTCTACTCCAGCTCTGGACAGAACCCCAGGACTTATATCTCAGAGTGACTTGATCATATCACCATTGGAGCCCAGATGTAGTTTTGTGGATACATTTCTGTCTTTTAAGATTATTTAAGAAATTTTTTTTATTTTCCCTGGCCAGTGTGATTTTTCTTGGGGGCTTTACTCTTTGATCTGGACTGGAAAAAATGTTCCCATTTTAAGACCTCTTAAAATAAAACATGTCTTTGGATTTATTGTCTGTGCAAAAGGAAATTCAGATAATAGTTCTGTCCTTAACTGAAGAAAAACAGGAAAAGAAAATACATTTTTTGCTACTTGGAATGATAAACACAGTGAAGCATATGCTGTATATCCTGGCAACAGAAATTCAAGGTCGGAAATAATTCCTGTCCTCCTGAGTCTGCCTTCAGCTTCCCTGAGGAGTGTAGCGGTTGAAATTTGCTACTAATTGTAGCCGTAATTTTAACATGCAATTAAACACATGATTTCCTTCCCAGCTGATGTCTTTTTAGCTAGTCTGACATGCATAAAACAAAAGCTCTGTAGGTTTGAATGGCCACTTTGATCTGACAGGAGGTCACGGAAAGTCACCATGGTTTGAGTAGTTCGGCTGCCTCGTAGGGACTAGATCAGTGTTGCCTATCAAAATGGCGAGGTGATTGGGTGCGCCTAATATAGTTTCCAACACTGCCCTCTGTGGGCTGAAGAAACCCAGCCATTGGTGTGTGCCCATTTTGCTGAGACCCTCTGTGAGGGTGCGGACCATTAGGGGGAGTGATATCAGGTGGGGAAGAATCCGAGGGGACTTTGTGTGGTTGTGGTGGGAGCAGAGGCTCCCAGAGGTCATCTCCTACTGTGGCAGGTCTGGTGTTAAAGGGATCTCCAGGGAGAGCCGGAGAAGCTTGTGGCTGTCCTGTCCTGGGCTGTGTGTCCCTTCAGTGATTTTCTCTTTGGCCTCTCCCAGAGGGTCATCCACACCATAATGGACTTCCCGTGAGGAATTAGGGTTCTCTGCCCAGGGGAGCTTTGGGACCACCAGAATAAAGAAACTAAATAGGTTTCTCTACTCAAGGATTTCTTGAGAGACTGTTACATGTTGCTGTACATCATGATTCTCTAAGGGAGAATTCAAACAAGTGTGGTTTTCCAAAAGTATGTGACCATTCAAGGAATAACTGTGAGGACACAGTTTGGGAAGCACTGCTCTGGTTGTGTGAAGCCTTTCAAACATGACTTTTTAATTTTTTTATTAAGATATTATTGATATACACTCTTATGAAGGTTTCACATGAAAAACAATGTGGTTACTACATTCATCCATATTATCAAGCCCCCCCATACCCCATTGAAGCCACTGTCCATCAGTGTAGTAAGATGCCACAGAGTCACTACTTGTCTTCTCTGTGCTACACTATCTTTCCCGTGACACCCCCCACACCATGTGTACCAATTATAATACCCCTCAATCCCCCTCTCCCTCCCCACTCACCCCCTTTGGTAACTGCTAGTCCTTTTGTGGAGTCTGTGAGTCTGCTGCTGTTTTGTGCCTTCAGTTCAAACATGACTTTTTGTAATAACATGAGCACACACTAATGCTGCACACACCATGTGCTCACCACTGCCCCAAGCACTTGCATGCACTGTCTCTTTAAATTTTCACCATGGTGTAGGTCCTCTTGTTAGTATCCCTGTGACGCAGGTGAGACATGTCTCATTGGGAGGTTAGGAGACTTGCCCAGGGTCTCAGGGCTAGTTAGAGCCTGTCCTGTCCTCTTCCAGCCTGAGTTCTGGTTGCCCTTCATGTTCTAGACCCTGACTACCTCATCCAAGAAGCCTTTCTGATCCTTCCTGTCCTCCAAGGTAGGGCCTGTGAGCTCCCTCTGTCCCCCAGAGCCAGAATCCCTCATGGTCCTTGCCAAGCAGACACTGTTTACATCTGTGACCCACACTAAGTCATGGGGTTTGTGAGTGCCAGGGCTGTCTGTGCCCCTGGGCCGGGTCTTAGGTTTCCCTCACTGTGATTGGCACATAGTTGCTCTAAGTAAAAATGGTGGGGATTTTCAGTGTGGACTGGATCTCATGTTCTCTGCTCCTAACGGATGGTGGTAACAGAAGAGTCCTTCATGGTTCTGTTTTGGACTCATACTGCTTTAATCCTGTAGACCCAAGTCTTTCCTTAATTCTGGATTTATCAGAGGTGGTGACCAAGTCACCCTCCCTACTTCTCGAAACCGGTGTGTTCCCTCGTGTCCACATGTGGCCATGGTGCTTTGGCACATCACCTGACAGAGGAGCTTGGATGGGTGTGGTGGACATCCCGATTATTCCACAGCGTCAGCTCTCAGCATGTTCTTGCCTTTCTCTGTACATGGAATTCAGTGTTTGGGGACTGAACAGGCACAGTGAGTGGGTTTGGGTGTTATGCGAAGGTTTGGAATAGGACATAGAGATGCACTTTTGTCTAGGGCAGCTGTGGCTGGTTTGACAGCATCCTGGGGAATGGGGCAGTTCTGCTGCATTGTTGGGACAAGGGAGGGATGTGGGGCAGGGGGAGATGCCCAGCCCCCAGCCCTGGACAGTCCCATCCAGTGAGGAGTGAAGTGCCTCCTCAGTTCTTTGGCCTCTTAGTGCCTTCAAAAGGCGGACCTGCCTTTGGACCCCACAGTGGGAGGGATGGACCTCACCCTCCCCCAACTTACACTGTGAGGGCCTACAGGCCAGTTGAAGAGCTTCATGAGATTATTTGAGGGGAGCCTCCTAAGCCTCTTTCCTTTTATATTTAAGTTGCTTGAGTTTTGAAACATCAGAGAATGGAGGCTAGTGTATCGGCTACCCAGTTGTCACATGTACTTCAGGCCTCCTTCAAATCCCGCCACCCCCTGCCTTCTCTTCAGAATGGATGCTGCTCTTTGGGTGGGGCATTCTGAAGTTTCCTTGTCTTGTAATTGCTTGAATTGCTCTTTCAGACGGCAAGTTTGGTGCCTACATGCAAGTCCATATTCAGAATGATGGGCCTGTGACCATAGAACTGGAATCCCCGGTTTCTGGTGCTGCTACCTCCGACCCAAAGCAGGTAAGCCAGGTCTGTCTTCTGGGTGCCTGTAACATCTTTAGGCTTTGATTTGGTCCCTGGACGAGTACTTAGTCTGAGGTGGAGAAAACACTTTATTTCAGTAACCTAATATTTATTTTAGTATGTCCTTTCCCAAGAATGCATGTTTCCTTGCATCTCCCTGGTGCTGTGAAAGGCTGGACTGCACTTTTTTCTTGCCTCCTTCTGACTTTGGATTCCAGAGAAAATGTCCTTTGCAGAGCCCGGTTCTTTATCCGGGCTCCTGTTCTTCGGTGAGGTGCCTTGGCGCTCACACGCCACTGGGTGGCAGTAGAGTAGCAGCACAGTTCTAGACTTGGACTGGGGTTCACCAGCTCTGAATGATTATCTGAAGTGGGTTTTATCCTAGGTGTGGGTAGATGTGCCACCCGAGGGTCTTTGTAAATCCTCGTTTTTCTAAAGCAATGTCTGACCTGGATTTTCCGCCAATACTGCAAGCTTTGAGGAAAAAATTTAATTAAAATAGAGAGAAATACGTGATAGTCCTTGCAATGCATGTCGTTCTTATAGATGCTTAACACTTCTAAAAGCTTTAATTAATGCGCCCACTTATAACCTTGGAGACACATGGATCAGGCAGAGGAGTGAGTACTGATAGGACATTCTTGTTCTTCCTTCCCTCCCACTCTCCTTCCCTTGCTAGGATGCTGTGAAGTGGAAAGATGCAGAGTATGGGCAGTGTTACATAAACAGCCGTACCACCTGATAAGAGTTAACACTTTGTTCATTGATACTTATTAAATAAAACACTTTTAAGACACTCTCTTCTCTCACAAGAATAGAGTGTAAGAAGATAGTAGAGCCCATCATCTGAATCTTTATGGACAATGCCTGATACCTAATGTCCTCTCCCCAGCCAATGGGACTACGTACAGTTGCCTTTGTGTATCTGCTGCAGGTGAACCTTTTATAAAGAGGACAGAGTACTAAGGCTTTATCAACTTTACAAAACATTTTATATGAATCACTTTGTGCCTGCTTGCTAATACATTCTTATAGTAAATATAAAAGTCTGTATGGCAAAAATTGATCTAAGACTTGCTGTCAGTATAACCTGTTGCCAGTCTGTAGGAGGATAGCAGACCCTAATCTGCTTTAGATTTTTGAGTCTCACTGTTATCAACCAAGCAGAACCTACTAGTTATACAAAACCGAACTGGCTTAGGTCAGTTCACAGTTGTAATTAATGTCCTCTCAAATGCAGAGAGCCTGACTAGACTCCAGTTACCCCACCTCCAGCATGAGATTCCTTTTGTTTTCTTTTTTATAATATAATAGGATTCACATTTTTCATGTCATCCAAGCCAGAATCTGGTGTCATCCTTATTTCATCCCTGTCTCACCCAGTGTAATTGCCTGTGTGCCACTTCTGCTCTAAGTTGTTTTTTTTTTTTAAATAAATAATTTAATCTTTACCAAAGGGTATGATGAGGAAATTGAAGCACCAGATTTACATAGTAACTTAAGGTCACACAGCTATTAAGAGGCAGAACCAATATTCAAACCCAGTTTTAAAAATCAGGAAGCAAAAGATTATTGCCCAAACTCTGAAGTCACTGAAGTTGTTTTTGGAGAGAAACTTTATCTCTGAATACTTGCTGCCTCCCAGGCCCTTTTAGAGAAAAATGTCTGTGAGTATTGTGCATTGGCGGCCATGTATTTTTGTTTTTGTTTTTTAATTTGAAGTTGTAATTTTTAAGGGGCACATAGCCTTTCATTTTTGTTGGTGGTTCTTTGTACTGATGGAAAACAGGAGGAACACGCATGATGTGGTAGTACTGGACTTCAAAGGTGATAATGGGTTCTTGGAATTACTGATAACATTAAAGAAATCACAAATAGCCACATGAACATTTAAACTTTTTATTTTGCAGTATTTTGAGATTCACAGTAAAGTTGAAAGAAGCAACAGAGTTCCCATAACTCTTTATCCACCTTCCCCTAATCCTACAGTCTTACATAATCCTAGTACATTGATCACAACATTGAAATTAATACTGACATAATACCACTACCTTCACTACAAACCTTCTTTAAATTTCACTGGCTTTTTTTTCCTAGTGTCCTTTTTCTGTTTCATGATAACCCCACATTGCATTTGATTTCATCCTTAGTCTTCTCTCATCTCTGACGGTTTCTGGTCCTTCCCTTGTCTTTCATGACCTTCACACTAAGAGTGCTGGTCTGCTATACTGTAGAGTGATGCTCAGGGTTTTTTCCGATTGCATTGAGTCATGCTTCTGACAGAAACAGCAAACAGCATGAAGTGATATGATTTTGGTGCAGCATGGGCGAGGGTGTGTGCTGCTCTCTTGTCTTGTCACAGGCACTGTTAACCTTGATCATTTGGTTAAGATGGAGTCTCCCAGATCTCTCCACGCTGTGGAGTTTTAACCTCTCTCCCCATGACTGACCTCTTGCTAATTCAGAGCAGATGACTGCCTTTCTGCTTCACAGAGAAAGAAGCCATAGGATGGCATTTGCCCCTGCTTCTCCATCCCCCTCTTCCTGTTGGTAGCAGAGCCCCACTTCCTGCTGCTGAGGCCAGTACACTCCTCAGGTCAGGAACGGCTCTGTAATTTGTGAGGCCCAGTGCAGAATGAAAACGAGGGGCCCCATGTTAAAAAATTATGAAGAATTTCAAAACGGTGACAGCAGAGCATTAAACCAAGTGCAGGCCCTTCTGAATGGGGACTGCATGACTACACAGGCTGTGAACACTGCCCCCCCTGCCCCTTCTACCCTGTCAGCATCCTCTACTAAGCCTCTTGTTGAGTCAGCCTGTTCCCTTCACTCATCCATCTTATTCCCAAGGCTTTAAATATTCCCAAGGTTTTCAGTTGAGAAATGCCCCTGTTCCTCTCTTGGCTGTCTCTGCCTTTTCCTCCAGTCTGCAAGGAGACCTCCATGTTGCTTCCTTTATGACTTTTTCCAGGCCCACCTTACTTGACACTCAGCAGCTCTTGCCCACTCACTCCTGGAAACTGCCTTGAGCCCTGTTTTCCAGGACACTGTTCTCTTCTACTTTTCCTTTTGCCTCTGGCTACTCTGTCTGGTTTTATTTCATCATTATTTTATAGTTCTGACTTACTCTGCTTTAACTATATTTGGAGAAAACTTATAGTCAAGTTTTTTTCCCTTTTAAGTATTTTCCTAGAAATGGTAGTGTAACACATTGTACCTTTGTAATCTTCAACCTTTTTCAGTTAGTACCTTTGCTTTTCTTCTTTAAAACATTAACACAAATAGGCAAGGTGTTTTTTCAAACATCTAATGAGCCATGCTAACTTATTAGGATAAGAATTTTATTTTAAGTATTTCTGAATCCTTTAAGAGCCTTCTCTTCAAATGCACGAATTGTCCTGTGTCAGTGTTTGTGTTAGTTACTGGCACTCCAGGTCTCAGACCCTGGAACACAGCACCGAGCTCTGTCCTCTAGCTCTCCAGGAGGTGGTGACGAAGGCTTGGAGGGGCCCTCGTGCTGAGTGCTGGCCTTCGCTGTCTCTCTCTGCCTTTCCATTCTCGGTAAGAAGGCAGTTCTGTGGCAGGTAGCTCATTTGTTTGCTTGTGTGTTGGTATGAAGCCTGTAGCCAAATTCTTTTGCTGATAAATAAATGTGCATTTCTGTAACTGGGTTTTAATTCTAGGCATTTGTTTTCTCCATTATAATCCAACTAGTAGTGAAAATTGCATACATTTCAGAACAGTGGTTGTCTTGGCAAGGTTTTAAATATAGGCTCTTTAACCCACCTGAACAGATGCACAGTGTGTGTGTGTGTATTTACATGTCAGGGTGTTTTTAGTATATGACAGTGCAGGGGCCCTGTGGGGAAGGGGACAAGGTGCCGTGGCCCAGGCCCTGCTCTCAGGGATGGATTTAGGGCTGTGCAAGCCTGCAGGGTTAGTAGCAGTGAAAGAGGTAAGAATGGTATGTGACAACTTAGGACATGTTATGAGGCCACCATTTCATGCTCCTCCTTAAAGCCCTTCAGTGTCCTCCAGGTGCATTCAGGCTACTACCTAAGTTCCCTCCTGCTACTTACCACTGCCTGGATCCCGGCTTCTGTGGCTCTGTCTGGCCTGTTTTGTGCCATCTGTCTCTCAGTCCCTATTCTTCACCCATGCTGCATCCTCTCCGTGCTGAGAACAGTCGAGCTCTTTCCTACCTATGGGCTCTCTTGATGTCAGTGTCTCCTCCTCAGAAGAGATCTTCTGAGCCCTCCATCCCAAGTAAGCCCCTGCTGGCTACGCTGTCACCTTGCTCTAGTGATGTATTTCATGACACTCAGCACCGTCTGTTATTACCTGCTTATTGCCTCATCCCTCACCCTGTCTACGCACTCCTAAACTCAAGATGCCTGAGTCTTGTTCAGTGCTATGCCCAGGGAGGTGTGATCAGGGTGCACAGTTGGCTTTGAAATCATGCATCATGTGCCGAAGAGCTGGGCTGTCTGGATGTTCTGAGTTTGGAGAGGGCTGAGGCCCCTGCTGTCGCCATTGAACTGGACAGGCCTCTGGGGGAGTTGGAGGTGGTGGCTGACCTTTAAGGATTTGGAGAGGAGGAAGTATTCCCAGGTGTTTCCAAACTTGCCCTTCTAATAGAGATTTATTGGTCATGCAGCTATGGCTGGTGAAGGTAACTAGTGGTTTGCCTGCCTTACCCAGATCCCTGCTTGTTTTCCTTGGCTGCAGCAGCATGCCCGGTACATTTACAGCCTGCTCTGTGGGCCCCATGACACGTTCTGACAGAGGAGAAGTCGGAAGAAGATATGTGCTTGGTCTGAAGGACATATTCTCAGCAGTAACAGGGCATGGAAATGATAGCAGAACCACCAGACAGAAGCTGTTCTCCCTGTAGCATTTTTGTGGAAGAACACAATTCTGGTAGGAACCTGCTGGTTATTACCTAGAAAAGATCACTGGTGCATGAACTCTTCCGTGGGTGGCTAGATATTGGGAGA